GCCAACAACATGCACATGAAAGGCAGCAGCAAGCAGCAGAAGATGAAAAAAGTTAATTGAATTGAATTTAAATGAGAAAAAGTTGTGATTTTTATTGAAAAAGATTTTTTTGTGTGATTTGTGCAGCACAGAACTGCGAGTGAATTTCCATTTCAATTCATGTTTAGTGCTCATTAAAAATATATTCAAAGTCACTGCCAAAATCGGTCAATTAGTTAAGAAAAGACTTAAAATTCTTTCATGACTGTCAGCAATTAAAGCTAATTGAATTAACACAAACACAAGAATGAAAAAAATCTGCGGAATGGCAATTAAATTATTAACCAAATGTGAATTTATTTCTCTTTTAAGGATGCGATGTGCAGTTCATGCAAAGTTAACTCTGAGGCTTTTTTTGCTTGTAGAAATGAAAAAATGAACGACTGGAATTAAGAGTATCCACATCGTTTGTTTCTCAAAATAAAAATCTTAAGTTTTGGTTACGTTAATGCTCTGAAATTATCAACTTTACTCATTCATGCTTCAGGCTGAACCTAAACTTTTAATCTCCAGGTTATAACCACGCAAAATAAGCCGTTGCTTTTTTAATAAAACTATAATTTCAACTTTAATTATCTTCAATTCTCAACTCTGCATTCAGGACTTTATTGTATGAAGTCCAAGGGCGTGGAACTGATAAACTGACTTTTGATCAATTTCTCACCCTTGTTTAGTGAACACCTTTAAGTCCCTAATTCAATTTGATGCTATCCACTCAAATATCTCCCATAAAATTCCACAAAAATATCACAAAAAAGCAAATAAAATAATCGATGTGAGTACTCAGAAAAAAAGGAACTGAAAACTGCTTTTGTTGCCATTCAAAGCAGCATCAAGGAAGATGAAAAAAGGATAAAAAAGAAAATTTCCTCGTCTACATTTTACATATTGCCAAATATTTCTTTCCATTCTTCCGATCGACAATGGCACATTGAACAGCACCAGCACCAAACATTTCTATTCTATTGAACATTTTCATCTCTTCCTCCATCTTCGTCGAGCATGTACATCGAAAATGGCATTTTAATTCCAACAAAATCGTTCCGTTTTATTTTTCAAAACATTCGTAAATGTAATGTGAAAATTTTATGGCAATATTAATCTTGTGCTGCTGTTTATGCTGTAAAATATTTCTCACCTGCCAATAAACATTTGGGAATATCCCATGAAACTCAGAAAACCATTGGCATGAATCACTTAAGAGAACAAGCAAAAATGCTCAATAAATTATTTTCATTTAACTGATTTAAAATTAAAGATTAGAAAATGTTAAGAATAGAATTGAAGGAGTTTATGCTGCTTTATTTGTATCCCAGTTAGAAATTATGTGAGATGTGCTTTGAAGCAGTGCATGATGTAGTTTCTGAGTGAAATTTGGGGTAAAGAGCCTAGAATAAGCTTAGAATTTCCTAGAAACTTGAGTTAAACTGGTTCTGATTATTAAGATTAATTAGTTTCGAGCCTTAAATTCACGAAAGGGTACAGCCTACAATATTCGACCTCAATCAATAATCCATGACTTAAATCCCACATCATCACAGATATAAATGAAGGAACTCCATTCAACAGAATTTATCACTAGATTTCCATAGAATTATGAAAGCTTGAGCATCAAGCATCCTTATTTGAACTCATTAAATCGAATAGAAATGAGTGAATGACTTGTAATGATAATTAATTGCTGCTTACTTACGTTAATTAGGAAAAATTTCCACACAATACTTCTTGCTGCTTCTGCTTCTATTGCCATGTTTTAATTATTATTGTTGCCAACTCTCAATAATGTCTTTTAATTTTTCATCATTAAGCTACTTTTCCATCCTCTCATTTGCTTTTATTTCCCTCCAGAGATTCGCAATTCAAAATGAAAAGATTTCTTTTTTTTATTCACTTCTTCGTCAATTCCTACACAATTTTATTCATAAACTTCTTGTGTTGTTGTTGCTTCTGCTTGTTAATGATGCTGATTTACTTTTCCACCTTTAATTGAATTTCTTGTTAATTTTTATTCTTTTTTCAAATCGAAAGAAATCGAAATGAAAAAGTTTTGTTTGCTGTTGGCAATCAATCAATTTGCTTAGCAATTCCTTTACCTTTATTAACTTTTTTCTGAATTTTACGTTCAATCACAGTATTGATGTTTTCAAGAAGAACTAGGAATGAATCCGCATTTCAGTGTTTTGAAACTGGATCTTCTAAGCGCTGCACTCGATTCCTCTTTTAATAAATCTGGAACTAAACAATAAATTCTAGACCGAAGACAAAGTTGTAATCTGGAATCAAATAAATAAGATGTATTGACATGAAATAGCCTGATTTGTTAAAAACTGAATTTATAAACGCGCAAGAATATGGAATAGCTTTAGTTATGTGCAACATTCTTAGTGTTGGGCCGCTGACATTGTTTTATCTTGAACCAGTCAGATTGTGACTTAATTCAAGATAAATAGTTTTAAATTATCAACTTAGAAGTATTAAATCCAAAACATTAGCTATGTCAACAATGAGAGATACCAGACGCTTCCAATTTAGATAAAAAATCATTTTAAAGCAACAAATAAATTGAACAATTCCAAAAAATCATTTTCAGCAAAGTTAAAATCCTGAAAAAATTTCAATCTTCAAAAAAATTGCAATAAAAACTTTTCTATCTTGACATTCTCAGTTGTTGTTCCACCTCATCCGCGATGAAAATCAAGAGTGCAGAAAAAGTTTCATACTCAAAATTGAATCAATTTGCAATAAAAAGGAGCAAAAAATCTTTTTCATTCTTCGATTTTTTGCATAATTTATCCAATTTCTTATTCAGTCAAATTTTTTTTTTTTTGCTTCAAGTTCCTATGAATCAATGCATTGAGAAAAGTTGCTTATCAGAAATGAATTTCTGTTCCTTAAATGTCTCAATATTGATTCACATAATGCGCCACTTAAAACAGTGAATCTAAGAGAAGAATGAGCATTTAAGACACGTTTAAAGTTAAATAGATTTTTAACACATCAGATCGTCAGCTAAAACTTGGTATGTCTAAGTTAAAGTCATTCCATTCTATTGATGATCCACGTCTCAAAGTTCCTTAATTTCCAAATTTTGTCCAAAATCTAAGCACTTTGAGGGCACAAAAAAAAAATTGGACAGGACGGTGGGGCAAGGAAATTTAATTTCTTATATTTTTTATATTTTCTTTTGTGATTTTAAGAATTTTATGCATTTGTTTTTGTTTTTATACTTTTGAATTTTGTGATTTTTGGACATTCATAGAGTTGAGCATTCATTTTGGTGAAAAAAAAAAAATTTGTAATTTTGTGTGAGCAGTTCCATGAATAATTGAAGATGTAGTCTGAGAATGTTCTACTTAAAAGAAAAGAAAAGAAAAGAAAAGAAAGAAAAAGCAATAAAAGTTGAATATGAAACTATTCGGAAATCTCATAGGGACAATAAATGAAAATGCAGACGGATTTTATGCCGTACAATGTGGGCAGGAGTAGCACAAGAGGATATAAAATAAAGTCTTAATTGAACTAATTATGCTGGTGCTCTTTATCTATTATTCATAATCATTTTCTGTATACCTCAACTAATTTTTTTTCTAATTCTGTCCATCCACTTAAACATTATTGCCATTGAATCAGCATTCGAATGATATCGATATTTGCTTCCATTCCCACTAATGAATCAGCTCATCAATCAAAAACCTTTATTGCTGCCGTTCGCTCACATAAAACTATAAAATTCATCATCATTGTGATTGCTATCGATGTTGCCTGCTGTATTGTTTTCAGCATTAAATGAGAACTCAAAAGGAATCAATGAAATGAACATTTTTATCTCATCTAAACCGCTATTAACATTTTTTTACTCTAGATTCACGTCCTACAATCTCAAATGTCAATGCATGAAAATACGTGTATTTAAATTTCGCTCGAATTTCATTATAGTTTTGGAGCTGATGCTGAAATATTAGATACCAAAACTTTCATATAATAATGTTAAGGACTCTCCTAGTTCAAAACATTTGAGATTGTAAATAAATTTTGAAATTGATTCCTACAACTTACCAAACAGAGAGGTTTTTGAGAGGTTCTTGAATGCAATTAATTTGATGATACATAAATGCGGACTGTTTATCAATTGCTGTGCTATCTAATGATGATGAGAGATATGAAAATGAATATCATTGACTGAGTAAGTGTATATGGGTAATTCCATGAGAAATTTTTGTAAAAAATTTACTTAAAATTGATTTTTTTTCATATTTAGGCTTTACAAAAGTTAATAAGATTTTCACAGTGCATGTAAAAAGTCATATGGTATATGATTTGACATTAATTTTCTATCTAAAGTGGTTAATTCGTCCAAAAAATTGATTCCATGAGCGTTACTTGGTAACGCTATAAATGTTACCAAGTAACGCTATAAAATATAATTTTTTGGACTTAATAATCACTTTAGATGACATTTTAATGTCAAATAACATACCTTATGGCTTTTAGCATGTCCTGTGGAAATCTTATTAACTTTTGTAAAGCCTAAGGATGAAAAAAATCAATTTAAAGAAAATTTTATAGCAAAATTATAGCATGGAATTACCCATATGCAATTGAGGTTATTCTATGTTTGATTATTGTGTGCATACTTATCAGTTTTTAATTAATATAGCTTGATAGAATTGGGTATTGTTAAGAATCTAAACTTTAGATGATGATTTAGGTAAATAGAAGGTGCCATTGTAAACAAAAGCGTGTAAATGGAATGATTACAAGACAGATCTCGTTTGGGAATTAAAAATTGATTCTCACAAAAGAAAAGGTTTGTAGTTTGGGATTTAACAAATAAGAAAATAACGTTTTAAGGCTCTGAAAATCAGTAGTTTGACTTGAGAATTTAGAGATGTCTGAAAAGGAATTTTTAGAACCTTGTCCCCAAATAAAATCCACAAACAACGGTTTAGTTCCCAAAACATTTAAAAAATTCATTTCTTCATTTTTAATTTATCAACACATCCCGAAGGCTGATTCGTCTCCAAATATTTTGATTTCTCCTTTTTCGTCACTAAGAAATGCTTGAACTCATATTGAGTACCTAATACATCAAATAAGAATATTTTAAATCACAAATTGCATAAATTTCATTTCCAATTTTAATTTCTTACCCGTATGTGCAACATCAGGTCTGCATTTATTCATGGAATTCAAAACGGTTGGTGGAGTAAATTCAAAATCAATTTCACTGTCACTCGAGTCATGAACATCCTCATATTGCATCTTAGTCTTCATATTCAATTCTCGTGAAACTTTTTTCATTTCATCTTTGAACATTTCTTTCCGTATGCTACTTATGCAACGGCATAATTTAATGTCATTGCAATTGCATTTCTTTTGGAAGCCACGTGATTTCATTAGTTTTCGTGCCTGATGCATTTTTATCTCATCTGGATGTCGCTTTATGAGGAATTTTAATGGTGAGCAATTCAAATAAGGATTGCAATCTGTCGCAAGCTGTTTATTGTCTTTTAGAGGTCGCATTAAAATTGAAACTTCTCCATCTTGTTTGGATACTTGAAGTGTTGGCTTTAAAGTTTCAATACACTTTTCATCCTTGTTGTCTCTTTTTTCTGGAAATTTCGGCGCACAAATTGTATCATATGGATATGGCCTCAAAAAATGCTTCATTAAAATTCGCACGATTTTATTGATTTGACCAGGACGCCAGCTTTTGTGGTGATTTGAATCTAGTTCGACTTTATCGTGACGCCATCCCATTCGACTTGGGACTTTTTCACAAACATTTGGGACGCTGCATGACGAACGATGAAATGGATATGAATTTCCAAATTCATATGAATATTTTCCCACAGCTTTGCATTTCATTTGCTTTATGAATTCCGTCCGTGCATTGTTGCATGAATCGTTGGAAGATGGCTGTGGTGATGGAGATTTGCTAGGAAGAAGCGAGTTGCAGTTGCTAGTTTTTGATGTTTAACAAGGATTTTCAATATTTTATGTTTTCAAAAATTTATATTTCAAGTTTAAAAAGTTCGTTAAAAATTCAAATTTAAAAAAATCGTTAAGATTCAAATTTACAGAGTTCGTTAAAAATTCAGATTTTGGAAGTTCGTTAAAAATCAAAAAAATAAATAGGAACTTACTTGCAACAAACTTTAGCATTTCGAGTTCGATTTTTAGCCTTTTTCTTCTCAACGAAACCTTTCTGAGCTGCACAATCACTTGACATCTTTCTAGCATTGAAATTTCCACCAGCTGCCTTCATCTTTTGACTCTCCAATTTCTTACAAAACTTCCAATTTGAAATATCATCAAAAATTCTTGACGGAACCTTCGGGACATTCTCAGTCTTTTTCCTAAACAACTTCTGCAAATCAATGCTTGAATTCTTCTTCGGTGCTGATTGTTTCCCGACCTCTTTGCAGTATTTCATAGCAGTAACACAAATATCACCACAAAATCCTTTCTTGTCTTTAACATTCATCAAATGTCCATTAATTATCCGATAGGAATGCTCGCCAATTTCAAGATGCTTTTTGCAGTACTCGGGTATATCATTTGGACATGGAAAGTCAACTTGACATAAAGTTTCATCTTCATCGTCAGCATCTGAATCACTTTGTGCTTTTGACTTCCTTCGATTTCTCTTCGATGCATTCAATTGAGTCTTTTTTATAGCTTCAAATATGCTTTGTTGATTATCCATTCGCTCAATTTTCAAATCAATATCCATCGCCCCATGCTCAATTGCATCTTTTACGAACTTAAAATCATTTTTCAATATTTGAGAGTTGAAATCCGTGCAGAGAATGGCATCGCAAAAGCAATCGGTTAATGGAAATTTCACCGTACCAAGATCCTCACAAAATGCTGTTAGATTCATGAGTATTGGACTTGACTTTAATTTTCGATTTAATTGCATTGGAGTACAATGAATGTAGAGCACTTGACGACGTCCTTTAAATTCTTCCATCGATTCTTTTGCCGTTGACCGAAAGACATTCCCATCCCATGTTACTGTCAGAAGTTTTTCATCGTCTGAATATTTGGACTCATTTGTAAGTGTCAAGGAATTGATGAGAAATGTTACTGTAAAGTCTGCATCTTCGTTGCACGGTTTTCCACACGATTGAGTTGCTAACGTTGTCATCTTACTGGTACTTTAATTATTGATGAATGTGAACTTTAGATTGATTAAATTGAAGACAAAAAGGTTAAAACTGATTGAATGAAAGTAGAAAAAAAAATTGAAGCGTTTTACAAAAAGCAAAACTTACTGTAACTTTGAATTTAAAGAATTTTTCTTAAAAACTATACTATACTTTAACAATATTTTAAATTAAAGAAAAAAGACATTTTTTGTCATAAAACTCAAAAGCAAATCTTTTTAAAAATCAAGAATCTTTAATTCAAGGCATACTCTAGCCATAAAATCACATGCTTTACTTTATTTTATGCAAAAATCTCTTCAATAAATGCAAAAAATTTGCCTTTAACATTATCAAAATTAAACTTTGAATTTTCCTCTCGTTTTATTTCCTTTCAAAAAATAGCTTGTGTACATCTGCGGCATGTCCTGTTTGATTATGCATGAAAATGAGATTATGGTTTCTTGTTTATCGGTTTCATCTTCATTTATTTTGTATTTCACTTTCTATATAAAGTACATAAGTATATAGCTTGTACTTAATGTCTGTCTATTTGGTATGCTTCTATAGAGAGAAATTTCGTGTGTATTTATATATGCATACAATATGCTTGTACGATACATAGAATAAAGTATTTATTGTCATGTGTATTTTGAGATTGGAAAGAAGAACTTTAGGAATTGAATTGAATTTGGAAGTTTTAAAGACGCTTTTATTTTATGGAGCAAAATGATGAGAATTGGAAGCAACTAAAATAATTTTTGAGCTAATAGGTCCTTCTCTAGTGAAATCTGTAAGACTAGGGTAGCTAATGAGTGGATGGTTACTCTAAGTAGTAGTTTTCATTTAAAGACAACCAAAAAATCAAGAACAAGTCAGACAATCCAACAACAACCCCATCAATGCTTAATCATCACAAAGACTATGCTACCGAGATGTCCAATGCACGGCAGAAATCACATTAAATATTTATGCATTCAGTATCAAAACATAAGATCTTAATTTCCCATCTCTAACCTCGACTCTTACAATTTCTTTTCTCCTTTTCCTCTTCATTCATTTATTCTTCGTTTGGATGACTTCCAAAAGGACTGTAAATCTTTTCAGCCAACTGCAATAAAAATCATTTTTATAGTTTCCTATCGAGCACATAGAGAGTTCGCAAAGAGAGCGCAAAAAATTATTATTTTCTTTCCACAGTGGCAGCATAAAGCAAAAATTTATAATTGCAACAATTTCATAATGAATTTTGCCCTGCTGTGATGTCATTCGAGTGGAAATTTTCCTCTTCTACTCATCGTCCTTCCTTTATTTTTTATTTCTAAAAGAATTGCAAAAAAAAGATTCTTTTTGAACTTGTTCAAGTGGAAAATTTTTTTGCACAAAGAAATTTTACTGTCTGGAAAATTTGTAGCTTTACATAAGTCATCTGCTGATGTTAAAGATGTGAAAATTATTTTCACGATTGTTTTGGAATGAAAAAGTTACTTCAATTGTCTGGAGTTAAAGCATGAAATAATGTCTCGGATGGATTATTTAAAGAAGGAAGAGATTGTCGAATGAAAATCCAATTTGACTCGTCTAGAAGTTTTTTACTGAGATAACTGAACCTTTACTGAGATGACAAAATCTTTACTGCGATGACTAAATCTTCACTGAGTTGACTTAACTATTACTGAGCTGAACGATTTATTTCTGAGATGACTGAACCTTTACTGATATGTCTGATCTTTTTTAAAGATTTCTGAATCTTTACTGAGATGAATGATTCATTTCTGAGATGACTTTACATTTTTTGAGATGATTCAATTATTCCAAAATGAATAAACTCTAGATGGAATAACTAATCAGATGATTAATAACTTTGTAAGACAATCAAAAACATATTCACTATTTATATCCAAATTCAATCTAATCTCAAACGTTTCCAAAGCTTAACCTCAGCCACAGCATAATTCCCACAACTCCCACCCACAATGTGGCCGATAAAACCAAAAATAATTCTCATTAAACACTCCAATATACTCTCCTAAGCCATCAATCAACTACTAATAGCCAAAGTCATCAAGAGAAAAGAAAAAGAATAAATAGGTATAGCACAGCGAGGCAATAAAGAAGTATATGATATGTAGCAGCAGCCATTATGAGTCTTTTGCTAAGGAAGCATGAAAAGTTATAAATGACTACAAATAGTCAGTTCATAAATATAACAAACAACATGTTACAAATGAGATGTAATAATGATTGCAGCAACGTCTAACAGCTTAATAATGAGAATGAGCCTCACATTTGTTAAGGGAATTTTTGTATGCTTGTTTTTATTTCGTTGGTAGATTCATGGTTGGATGGAAATAAATTTCGTTTCTATTATTAATATGCATTAAATTGATGTTAATTTTTTTGTGCTGTTGTTAGCCTCGAAGCAATTAAGACAAACTAAATAATCGAAAAACATCATCAACAGCATTAAATAGAGGAATAAATTATTCTAAATTGCCCTTAAAAATATGTATTTCATCAATGAATAGGTTATACGTGAACGAGCAGTTGAATGATGTACCTACTTTTGAGTGTAGCTTTCAGATTGTGTTATGGGCTGCTCAGGAAAGGGAATTTCAATTTGAAGAAATGCAGCTCTGACGCTCTGACTTAAATCTAAAGCTCTGGCTTGAATCTTAAGCTCTGACTTAAATAAAAAGATCTGACTTAAATCTAAAGCTCTGACTTACATGTAAAGCTCTGACTTAAACTAAAGCTCTGACTTAAATCTAAAGCTTTGACTAAAATCTAAAGCTCTGACTGAAATTGAAAATTCTGACTCGAATCTAAAGCTCTGATTTAAATCTAAAGCTCTGATTTAAATCTAAAGTTCTGACTTAAAATCTGAAGCTCTAAAATACTTCTTAAAGTTTTAAGCCTTTCCTAAAGTTTGAAGCCCTGTCTTAAGTTTGAAGCTCTGCCTTAAGTCGAAAGAGCTAATTTTGATTCCAAGCACTGTTAAAAATATATATTTTTAAACCTCAAACTTAGTAATTAAATATCAAAACCGATAACCAATAATCATGAGAACTCATCCGAATCAAAAATCATCTGTAGATTCTCCCAATGTTCTCTCCCTCTCTCTCTCTCTCGGTGAACAAGGAAAAACTTTTTTTAAACACATACATAAATAACAGTCCAAAAAACCCCGAGAAGAGGGAGAACATCAAAAAATGGGGGTGTTGGTAGGGAGTGGAGAACAACATGAAAATTTTTGCATGTATAAATCACCTCCGATCGAGAAATGATAGAACGTGTAGATGTATCAGCATTTGATAAATTGATTCAATTTCATGTAAAATTACATTTTCTCACATATATCTTATAGCATCACAAGGCAGTACACGAGGAAACAACAAGAAGAAAAGGAGAGAAAAAAAAACTTGTTTTTCACCCCCGAAATGATTCTCATGGATTAAATAAATCTTTAAAGTTAACGGAATTTGTTATGTGATTTATGATTTAATCTCATATGTGAAATGTGTGCCGATGCGTACAAAATTCAAGTCTGAGTGGAAAATTTTCATGGATATTGATTTGCAATTTGCATTAGCATAATTTTTATTCGTAAAGAGAATGAAGTTTTCATTATGAATTCTGAGTGTAATGAAAAGTAGTCGAAATAATGAAGATTGAAAATTTCAAATCAATGCCAATTTAAATTTGATGTAATGTTAATTTTGATGGGATGTCACAAATTATATCAGAGATCGAAGCCGATTTTTTCGGCTTAACTCAATTTTTGATTTTTTTGATAGAAAAGAGCCATTTAACTACCATTTTAAGTATTTAAATTGAACTTTATATGCTTTACTGTGATTCTGTGTAATATTTTGTCAGCATGTAGCTATAGTAAGCTCAGAATTTCAATTTAGCCGATTTTAAGCCGATCGGCTTAAATTTCGGCTTAACATCGTTTAACTTGAAATTCTGAGCTTACTATAGCTACATGCTGACAAAATATTACACAAAATCATAGTAAAGCGTGTAAAGTCCAATATAAATACTTGAAATGTGTGTTAAATAGCTTTTTTCTATCAAAAAAATCAAAAGTTGAGTTAAGCCGAAAAAATCGGCTTCGATCTCTGAATTATATGCAGGACGTTTATGAATTTTTAATTACATTTTATGATGAAAATCATATTAATCTGTCTGAAGCAGCTTTCAACAGTGTGCTAGATTACAATTTTCAATTTTGATATTAATTGGAGAATAAAGTCGTCGCTTTAAGATTGATTTAACAGTTAAGTCGTCGCTTTAAGTTTGATTGGGCATTAAGATCGTTGCTTTCGGTTGGATTTACGATAAAGTCGTCGGTTTAAAGTTTGATTGGGTATTAAAGTTGTTGCTTTAGATTTTATTTGATATTAAGTCGTTGCATTAAGTTTGATGGGAGCAAAAAAGTCGTCGTCTTAAAATTGATCTAATATTAAGTCGTCATTTCAAATTTGATTAGAGTATATAAGCGACGCTTTAAGATTTGACTTGAGAATAAAGACCTATTTCTATTACAATCCAAACACCATTTCATCTACAATTCAATGACCTTTTAACACAAATCAAGACTCCACAAATAAATCTGCCCATTTCCTATAACGTAAATAAAGAATAAATGTCTCATTTTACCCCCAAAAGAACTACACATCCCATCTTATTCTTTATTTCTTGCGCAACATGAGAGAATCCAAAAGAAGATAAAAATTGCATAATTTATAAACATTGTATACCGAAACTCATTTATCTTTAATGCAATAAAAAATATTTTCTTTTTCCTACACTTAAAGTCAAAACTTATAGCTAGTTGGCAAGAAAATTGTAAGAATAAATCAGAGATAAAAATGTCCACTCGAATGAGCAAGAAGTAAAAATAAAATAAAATTTTTTGTGTCATAGTGAGATAAAAATAAGTAAGAGTGTAATATATGAGAGGCAATTGTGGAAATTTGTGAAAATTCTTTTAAGTATGTAAGACATAAAAAGTTATTCTTATTCTTGGGAGTTTAAGTTTTTTGGGAATCGTAAGTCTTTTAATTATAGAAGGAGTAATGGGGGGGGGGGGGGGGGGGGTGGTGTCTAGG